GAGGGGTGTCTAGCTGGGAATTGGGATGGACCAACCCTCATTCTGGCTCTGCAGAGAGTATAATTTTGGGCAAGTTGACTAAACTGGTTACAGCTTGGATTTCCTGTAGGGAAAGGATAATGGCTTTATTTTTAATTGGGCTAAAAATGTGTGTGGAAGGCCTGGCTGCACAAATGGCTGGAAATTACAAATGAAATTTATCATAACTGTTATTATTAGTATGTCACTGAGGGTGAATTTAGCTCAGATCATGCTTTCCCCCCCAATGGGGTGGGGAAGGTCTAAGAGGATTTCTAAAATAGCTCTGAAAAAGTCGTTTTTCACATCATTTTGAGCATTTCCCATCTGCTGTGAGCACATCTCTGGTTTATTTCCTAAATATCTTTTCCTTCTGTTTCTATTTTAAAGTTCCTTTTGCCAAGACTTTACCTCCCAGTTCCCGCTGCCAGGCTTGGGGCTGGGGCTGTGTGACAAGCAAGGATTTACCTTTCAGACTGCACTTAATTGACTGGGAGGCTGTGGAATTTCCCTCGCCAAGTGCTGGGTGCATAAACCCCTCCTGCAGCTCTGAGTTTGCTCCCAGCCCTGGTGATTACTTGTCCCTTCTTTCCTTGTGTTGGGAGAACTGAGAGAAGAGGTTTAGACTGGCTCAATTTGCAGGATCAAATACATTTTGGGCTGGGATTGCATTTTAAAAGAGTTTCTGGTTCCAGGTTGGCAGGCTGGGAATACTGCTCCTTCCAGCCCATCACGTTTGTATCTTTATATTCCACAGTAAATGGGGGACACATTGTTCAGGGGAAAGTCCTGCCAGGGCTACCAAATGTGTTCCAAAATCCTCATTGCAAGCAGCTCCTGGTGTGCCTCTGGAGCTGCAGGAGGGGCTGTGCTCACTCTGAAGCAGCTCTGGCTTTCTCCCCAGCTGCATCCCCTGCACATCCCACAAAGGCATCACAAAGGGACAGTGGCACAGAGGCTGTGCTGGAGGGGTCACCTTTCTGTGGGACCTCCCTCACCCCTGTGGCAGAGATATCCCCAATGCACTGGCCCTGTTGCAGGGTAATTTCTGCCCAGCTCCCTGCCTCACATCCCTGCTAACTGCATTTTCAAATGCCACAGACACTGCAATGTTTTAGACATGGGTTTTCAACAGGACGCTTTTCTGTCTGACAATTCTGCTTTTCAGAAAGCAAATATTTTGTGAGAACAAAATGTCAGTTTTGCTAAATTTCCAATTGGCTGTCATGTTTTGTTCCTTTTTTTCCTTTTTTGCCCCTCTCATTTCAAAAATTGTCTTTATAAAAAAAAGTAATTAAGCCATCTTAGTGTTAACAGTTGCTTATTGGGTCAGGGTTCTATGAAATACTTCAGCAGCTCCTTTCCACAGTTTCATGCACAGAGATGGCAGAATTTTTGTCAGCTGGCAAACTTAAAGGACATCAGATTTTTTTCAGGCAATTCCATTTATCCTTACAGCTCCCTTTGAGTTGGCAGAGCAACACTTTCCAGTATTTTATACGTGGGGAAGGGAGGTATAAGAAAACTAAATGATCCACCCAAGCTTCTAATTGAAGCCTGGCACAGAGTAGGGCCCACACACGTGCCATTCACCATCCCTTCTCCAGCTCATGGCAGCTCTGCTAGGAATTTCTTACTCTTTTTTGAAGCCTCAGTCCCCAACACTTACAATAATTTTTGTGCCTGTGGAGCTTGGGGGAAAATTTAAAGATATGAATCACTTATCTGAGGAACAGTAGGCTCAAACTCCCATATGTAGGCTGGTTTCATTTGAATTTCTTGACTTTTCCTAAGTGAGAAGCTGAACGTAGTTTCTTCCTTCTTTCAACCTTCCTGGCTCTACTGATATCCAAAAATGCAAAATGACATCTTGTCTCAGCCCACTAGAGCAGATGCAATGCAAGGGATTAGACTGGAATTTTTCCTAAAATGCAGCATTCTGAGACACTTCTGGAGAGCGTGGCTGGGGAGCAGCGAGCGCTGTTCACTTGCTGCTCACCCAGCGAGGCAGGGGGGCACAGCCAGCAGGGACAGCACGGCCAAAAACCACAGGGCCTTCTGGAAGGGTCACCCTGAAGGGAAGCCAGGCTTGGGCCAGCAGGAGAGTCTCACCTGATGGCAAAAACCAGCTCAGACACAAGGGGATGAACAGCAAAGCTCGCTGGTGAGGGGTGGGCCAAGAGGGAGGTCGGTGTTTTGGGGTGCAGGGGCCATGACGAGGCTGGGACAGCTGGGTGTGCAGCAAGAGGGGGATGTTGGAGCTCCTGCATCCTTACACTCTGTGTGAGCACCTCTGATGGAGGCAAAGGGGAGCAGCTTCAGGAGGAGCTGCACAGGGCACCTGAATCCTGCCCAGGGGTGCAGGAACTGCGTCCTGGAGCTCCTCAGCCTCGGTGCAGCTCCTCGTCCTCATAGCTCTTCATCCTCGTTGTAGCTCCTCATCCTTATTGTAGCTCCTCATCCTTGTTGTAGTTCCTCATCCTCATTGTAGGTCTTCATGCTCAGTGTAGCTCTTCATCCTCATTGTAGCTCCTCATCCTCATTGTAGCTCTTCATCCTCATTGTAGCTCCTCATCCTCATTGTAGCTCTTCATCCTCAGTGTAGATCTTCATCCTCATTGTAGCTCCTCATCCTCATTGTAGGTCTTCATCCTTGTTGTAGTTCCTCATCCTCGTTGTAGCTCTTCATCCTCATTGTAGGTCTTCATGCTCATTGTAGCTCTTCATCCTCATTGTAGCTCTTCATCCTCATTGTAGCTCCTCATCCTAGCTGTAGCTCCTCATCCTCGTTGTAGCTCTTCATCCTCATTGTAGCTCCTCATCCTCGTTGTAGCTTGTAGCTCCTCATCCTAGCTGTAGCTCTTCATCCTCGGTGTAGCTCTTCATCCTCATTGTAGCTCTTCATCCTTGGTGTAGCTCCTCATCCTCGCTGTAGCTCCTCATCCTCATTGTAGCTCCTCATCCTAGCTGTAGCTCCTCGTTGTAGCTCTTCATCCTTGTTGTAGCTCCTCATCCTCAGTGTAGCTCCTCATCCTTGTTGTAGCTCCTCATCCTCTTCCTCCCTGGATTTGGTTCAGGACAGACAAAAGGAGCTGCTGCAGAGTGAAGCTATCTGCAGTGCAAAGCTGTGTAGGAGGACATAACGAGCTTCTGGCAGATGGGAAAGGCTGATGAATCCCGAAATTGTGGATAAGTTCCAATTGTCCTGGTGTGCCTGTCCCCCCAGCATCTCCTGCCCTTCAATTAACCTTTAATTAATCAGGATTTGACCTGGGTGAAAAGTCAGGGTAGAAGTTTTCAGACGCATTGTCAACAAAAAATATGGGAACTTGATAGAATGGTGATATGAATTTCTTTAAAAAAATACAAAATTAGCTGGGGAAGAGAGAATTTAAAAACAGGTACTTTGATTTGTTTGGGTTTTTTTTGTTTTGGGTCTTTTTTTTTGCTAGGCCCTAATGATTTTTTTTTCAAAAGTGGTTGACTAATGAAAAAAAATATTGAATCCATTGCTGAGGGCCTAATTCTCTATCTCATGTGGATTACAAGTCAGTCTGAAATGAAGCCATGCAGGTGTCTTGCAGGAATTATTTGGTCCAGTGTAATTACTACAGAGTAAGTGAATGTCCCTCTGAAAAAAAGAAGAGGAGGTGATAGGGACGGGGCACATCAGCTTTGAGGAATGCTGTTTGGAGATATGAATGCCTGTGGGAAAGCAGGAAGGAGACAATTAGAAAAATATCAGGTAAAATCCTGTTACAGAGAATATTTTTCATCAGCTTGGTTATGCCAGGCATGGATTTGACCCATCAAGTCACTAAAGGCTTACAGGCAAAAATAAGGATATCATGAAAGCAGGATGAATTAATTCCTTCTCAGAGGAACAGACCACCCATGGAGTCATGAACTCGCTTTGATCCAAGCCCATGAACGCAGCCAGAGCTCCAAGGAAGTTTTTAATGGTGTAACACGAGCACCAACTGGCCATGAGGCATGGGGCAAACTCATCACAATTCACTGTTAAATAACACTCCAGGTCCCAGCAGTGCTGTTCCATTCCACCATATAACTAAAAGGTCCCTCTTGGCTTTGCTTTTAATTAATTAAGTCACAGCAGTGGCGAGCGTGGCGCTACAGCAGTTTCTCTCTGCCTAATTGTTCTCCAGGCGTATTTGCAGCACTCCTGTTGTAATCCCAGGCTTGTTTCAGGAGTCAAGCTGCACAAATGAAGTTCCTGCTAATAAAAGCAGTTTGTTTCCTATTCCTTGGCAATCTGTTCCTAACGCTGAGCCTCGCTGGAGCATGGACTTTTTATTTTTGGCAAGTTTTATTTTTTCTGAGCCAAAAAACAGCGACATTTACCAGCTACCACACTGCTCTCAAACTCTAGCCATTCTCAGGAAATCAAAGTTTTCCATGTCAGCATCATATTATTTTCGGCAGCAGCAGTCTGATGTGCCCAGTTTGATAGATCCTGCTGCAATGACATAATTATTTTCCTCCCTCAGTCTAGGATAACTTAACACCTCTTCTCTCCTTCCTGCATTAAGGTCTTTGAGCAATGAAACGAATTTTTTTCCATGCAGACATCCCTAATATCAGAAGATACCTCACTCCCAAAGGTTTGCAGGCAGGAGGATGTATTTTATATCACATTGCTCTTATTGCCCATCTTAAACTGCAGGACAGACACAGCAAATTAAATCAATTTATGCTTCATCACATCTGTTTCATTTGTATCAGACTGGTGCCACAGGAGCAGAAACCATTCTTAATCTCTCCACATTGCTCAAGCTAAAGTTGACTGGCTTTGCACAGAATGAAACTCCCACCTCACCTCTTTAAATGTTTTGTGTTTTCAAAGCAGAGTGACTCGTGGTTGCAACCTGTTATTGATGGTAGAGGGAGTATTTCCTTTCAGCCTCCTTGTTCACCTCTCTGGGTTTCTCTGTAGCTAAGGCAATCCTTGCTGTCCCCAACAGGATCAGGACGGCCCCAGGAGTGAGGATCTCGGACATCAGGGTCAGTGATGCTGACCAGTGGGGGGTGCAGGAGGAGACGGACAGCGCGCGCAGCACGGCCACGCTCACCTGCGTGCACAACGACCCCGGCGCCGAGGACAGGTGAGCCCTCCTGCCCGACCTGTGCCAAATGCTGCACACACACACACACACACTGATGTAGCCATGATATTCCATGAAAAATCCCCTGAGGAGCTGAGGAACCTCAGGAGAGAAGTGTAAACAATAACTGTGTGCTGCCGTGGGATGCATCAGGTGCATCTTCCATTGCTCCATGTGGATTGTTTTCATTGATGGCCAACCACAGCCTCCTGTGCCCAGGCTGTGAGCAGTCACAGGATTTTGTTATGTGTTCTATTCTTGTTCTTTTCTAGCTTTCTGATGATCTTTTCCTCTCTATTCTTTTAGTATAGTTTTAATGTAGTATTTTAGTATAATATATATCATAATATAATAAAGCAGCCTTCTGAAATATGGAGTCAAGCCTTGTGTCTCCACACATGGGGCACCAGACACGACACACTGACTTCCCTAAACAGCTGCAATACTGCCCCTCTGCCCCCCTGGAAAGCTGTAGGTGATCTGATGAGAGCTTTATTCCCTTTTTTTTCTGATCTGACAGAGCTTTATTCCCTTTTGTTTCGCTGCCGAGCTTTTGGGAGTAGATTATTGAATTAAACTGGAGGCAGCCCCCCAGTCCCAGCTCACATCTGCTTTTCAGGGCAGCAGAACCCCTTCACTTGGGCTGGGCTTTGCCCAGTGCTCAGCTCTGATAAGAGCCCCTGACAAACAAATTCCTCTTGCCAAAGAGCCAACAGAAAAAATGAACTAAACCAGAGAAATATGGTCCATTTTGGGTGTAGCCCCTGCGGGGCTTTGTCTGCCCCAAATGTACCTGAAGGCCCATAAATAAATATAACTGCTTTTTTTCCCCTTAATTTTGTTTGCCCTGTGTTCTTAGGCAGTCCCAAAATGCAACAGGTGGCTGGGCAGGGTCTGCTCCCTGTGAACCCCATCAGGTTCTTTCTTCTAACAACCATGATCTCTGTTCCCTTTGGAGCAGGGTGGAAAACCATCAGTTTAGAAGTGAAAGACTGAGGTTAAAGGAAGATTGAGGTCATCTGATGTTAGTGAAATCAAAATGAAGGGACTATTTTTAAAGTTTGACTAAAAAAAAAAATAGCCTGAACACTGAAACTTATTGCCTTGTATGGGGTTTCACTAATCCATGAAATTATACCTGTCACAGTAACTTAGGTTTTATTAAAACTGAGTTTTGCTTTGTGTTGAACTGTTAAATTGCACAAAAGCAATGCATCTCAAGTTAATTAATACTTTGACCCTTTCCTTTGTGAGATTAGTTTAATATTTTTGGATTAATTAAAGTATGCAAATAGAAACTGCTGAAAGATCACTTCCAGATTTGCAAATATTGTAGTGCTTAGAGTAAATATTTAACTTTGATCTTTCCTTTAATTTGTCTTTTTGGTCATAATGATGGCCCTCCTGTTTCCTTTTGAAGAATGTCAAGTGTTTATGTAGAAGTTCTGCTGTTTCATTTAAATGATGGGAGACCTGAATTTGCTTCTGTTAAGGTCAAGGTGACAGAATTGTCACTAGAGCTGGTTCATGTGTTTCATTTTAGAATTCAAGGGCTTCTTGGAGGGCAGTTTGTGTCTGGGTGAGAGTGCAGGATCATCTTTTCTGTCAGTGGACAGAATAGTATCCACCTCAGGGGAGATGCTTTTTTCTCTCTTGGAATTAATTTCACTTTTGCTGACTGGCCCAGCTGGTAGAGGAGCAGCGGGTAAGCCAGGACTGAGCCTCTGGGCTGAGCTTAGCTGATTTCTGGGTAAGATTTGGCCGAATTCATGTGGGTTTGAGCCTCCCTCAGGCTTTGTGCGGGGTGGAAAGCCCCACCAGCCCCTGGCACAGCTCTGGGAGCTTTGGGGACACCGAGAAGCCCCCAGGAGTCACAGGCAGCCTGAGTGAGATCTGTGCCCTCCTGGTGCCCTCCACCCCAGCCAGGTCTGCTCTTCACTTGGGCTGGGCTTTGCCCAGTGCTCAGCTCTGATAAGAGCCCCTGAGAGGCAGAGCCTGCCAGGAGAGCAGTGACTCTGGGCTGTGACATGTTCTCATCCTGCCTGCATTCCTTTCAGCCCCTGTTATCAGCTGGAGCATTTTCAAATTTGCTTACTTTTCTAATCTCCCTGCCTCTCCCCTCTGCAGTGCTACTGCTATCAGGAGGTTTTCATCTCCATTTCTCACATTTCCCTACGCAAATTGAGTGTCCATTAAAATGCTTTAAATTAAGACCTTTCCTCCTTTCATGCAGAGTGCATCCTTGCCTTTTTTGTGCATTACTTAAAAAAAATTCCTTATCACAGTGTTTCAGGCAGTTTACATTATATTCTATTAAAAATCCATTTTGTCCAAGGTTGTCACAATTCATAGATTAAAGCCTTCAAGAGTGTGTTTTGTTAGGAATACATTCATAAATTCACCTCTTTAGTAGTCCCATAAGCTTGTATTTAAACCCTCTTTTTTGATAATGCAGTTGAACAAAGAGCATAAAAAGAAGAGATTTATTTTAAATATACACACAGATATTTGCCCACATCTTTTCTCATCTGTGTGGAGCCTTGCTTTGCCCTTACTTTTGCTATCTCAAAGGAGGTTTTTGTGACTCATTGAGTGAGGAGATTGCTTGTTGCCATCTGCACCTCTTCTCCCTCGAGCTCTCTCCTTGGGGCAGAACTCTGAGAATCTCATTTTGGTGGGGATAGTTGAAGCAGCAGTGTTTTGGTTCAAAAAGACACAGTTTATTCTTCAAGCACAAATAGTTCTGCTCCGTGCCTGCAGCTGGGACCCAGCACTGCCATTCCTGGGGAAGGATCCGTGTGGATTTCTGCTTTGAGTGCACACACGGCTTGCAGGGAAGTCAGAGCTGGTGGGCTTTGCTAAAATCAGGTGTTTTCAGCCCTCTGTGCAGAACAGCTGAGCTGCTGAAGGGCTGGGATCTTACCCAGTGCTCTCAGTGCTGAATTAGTGCAAAAATGCTTTTGAAATAGCCAAAATTTGGGAGTCTACCAGACACGAGTCCTTGCTGGTTTCCTGCAAGCAGATCCCACTTGGTAAAGACCATGCAGGTTTTTTCCACTGCATTTGTCAAAAGATGGATGGAGCCTTGAAGTTCTTGTGTCCTTTGCTCCTGAGAGTTCTCTGGAAGCATTTCAGGAACATGCCACAAATTAGCTTGCAGGGCAAGAGGGCTTGAAAAAATGCCCTGAGAGCCTGGTCCATCTTGGCAAGCTGTGGTACCCCATAACTCAGGGCTGATATCCTGAGGAACAGGACTGCAGGAGCTTTGCCAGAGTGATTTAGCATTTTATAGGATTAGGTTATTTCAAATCAGTGCTGAGCAGGAGCTGAGTTTCCATGGTCTCATTTGAAAGGCTCCAGAACAGAACATATTTCATGGTGCTCGATGTTCTCCATGCTGAAAGCTGAAGAACAAACACTTCATGTGACCCAGCCTGTGGTTCAGGACAGAGGAGGTGGCACCAGCACAAAAACTTGGGCCAGAGAGTTGCAACAGCTCTGAAAGGGAATATCATACTGAGAGATCCTTTTCCTTCCTCAGGAACAGCCAATAAATTGGATTATTACCAGGTAAGGAGAATCTGATCCTTGACAAACTAGTATTTTAATCAGGAAGGTTATATTTATGCTAACTAGCAAAGTTAATCAAATTGATTTAACCTGCAGTGCTGAGCAGAGCGTTATTGAGCCCAAACTGGTTCTTCTCACCTAGGGATTATTTTATCTTCATGTTTTTAATACAGCTTCTGTCTCTCAGGATATTCGTCACTGCATAAATTAAACTTGCATGAGGGGCACTCAGCATGCAGAAGTAGAAAGAGTGAAATCTTCAGAAGGCTTTTTTTTCAGGTGTCCTCAGAAGTATTTATTCTGTTACCTGGAAATTTATGTATTTTTTAAATTGATGCAGTCCAGCTCAGCTCTAACATTTGACATCCTCTGTCTTTAAACTTGGATGAAAAAATAAGATTCTCTTATGATCATTCAATTTCTTTACTATTTTAAGAGGTGTTTACAGAATTCAAATGATTAACTTATTTTATAAAATGGTAATTGTAATGTAACTTTGAAACAGGAAAAGCAGTTTTATTTTATGTATTTATAGGCATGCAAATACATCCTCCTGTTTTAAAATAATTCATTTATTTTCCTGTGCTTGAGAATGCCCTTTGAACCAGGAATATCAGCCAAAAGAAAGATGTAAAATTTGCTGCCAGTTAAGATTTGTGCATATATTTATTTAAAGTAAACATGTGTTGCTGGCACGGATGATCAGCTGAGCGAAGATGCATCATTTGGTTTCATTTTCAAAGCTTTGGGGATGTCTTGAAAAAACCAGAGCTGTGCTGACTTTGGCAGGGTTTGTGGCAGAGCTGGCACAGGTGACAGCCTGCTGTCCCTGGAATGGAACGCCATTCATTCCCTCGTCACCTTCCAGTCCCCCCTTCATGGGGCAAAAAACATCCTGGGGCTTCCTGGGAAATTCTGAGAGATCCCTGGAGGTGTTCCTGTGTTGAATTCCCCTCCAGAGTGACAGCCTCGGGTCTGATATCCCCTCCAAGCCGTCAGCAGAGGGGCTGTGAGGCAGAGATCGCCCACGGCCCTGTCCCAGGCTGGGCCTGGGCTCTGCTGAGCGGATTCTCTGCAGTGCCTCGGCCTCCTGCTACCAGCACAGGCCAGGCTGCTGCTGCCCTGAGGAGTTTGGTGCTCCTGGGAGATAAATAACCCCAGAAAGATGGGCTGCAGGCAGCGCACACACAGCAGAGTGCTGTTCCCCACCCCGGGGAGGGCATCAGGCCGTGCACTCAAACATTCCTGATGTGTTTATTGCCACAGGAACCCGCCTGGCCCCAGGACTGCGAGTGTGTAAAGTGCCACCAGCAGCAGCAGTTGTCTGACAGAAGATCAATTGCGTGTGTTGCTGTGCACAAAAGAGCAGTAACTGCTGCAGACAGGCAGCCTTGCTGGGTCTTATTTTAGGCCATGCAAAGGCAGCGGGC